ATTTGCCTGCACTATGAATGTAAAAGAAAACAGCTACGGAAGCCTAATATTTTAAATTCTTGGATTGACCTACGGGCCACTTACAAGGTGAGAGTATTTGACAAGAAAATATACATATAATTTGTTTGCTTATTTGTTTATATTTCACTCTTCTTAACGATCCATCTCTCTCACAGAGGGCGGCCTCCTATTTAATCCAGATACGTCCAGCTATTTTAATGTGGTCAAGGCTAGGAAAACATTGGCCTAAAGAGCCCGCAGCAATTTATATTTAATTGAGCAAAACAGCAGATGTAATGAGGGTTTTGTTTTCATCCTTTTTTTCTCAGAGCTTTTACTCTAGGAAGCCTCAAGGTTTAAACGGCGCATTGAAAGACGTGGGTATTACTTTTGAAGGACGAGAACACTCTGGTGAGTGAGTATTTATATGTACGTATGACGAAGGAACCTCTGAAAAAACAGGGATGTGGGTCTTATATTTATGCAGGAAAAGGCTGGCAACCGTGGAAGAGAGTTAAAATGAATTGGAGCTGAATGCAATTTAATTGGACTTCAATATATAACGTTGCCACATGTAACTTTATATATTATAGTCTAATTCAGCACAGTCCATGCTGACCTCTTTGTGTGTGAAATCTCTTAACTAAAATTAACTTACCTTTTTCACTTCCTCCTTGAATTGAGTTTCCATACCTTGTAGAAATCAAGTTAGTCCTCAGCTTATGACAATTGAGACCAAAATTTCTGTTGCTAAACCAGACGGGTTAAGTGAGTTTTGGGGCCATTTTATGACCTTTCTTGCTGTCATCGTTAAGTTAATAATACAGTTGTTAAATCTGGCTTCCCCGTTGACTTTGCTTGTCATAAAGAAGCCACTGCAACCGTCGTAATTATGAGTCAGTTGCCCAGCATCTGGATTTTGATCAGGTGACCATGGGGAGAGGCTGCAACAGTTGTAAGTGTAAAAAATGGTCATAAGTCACTTTTTTTCCCCATTGCCATTGTGATTTTTGAACGGTCACCAAATGAACTGTTGTAAGTCGAGAACTACCTGCAGGAGATGAAGAGGGACCTGGCTTTGGAAATTGCTATCGGTATTATTAACTTAGCTTAGGATGCCAGGGTGAGCAGTCCAACAACGCTGTCCAATTATTTACAAAGTCCGCACTACTATTACTATTAATCTTCTCATCCCTCCTTATCATCCATCCCCTCCCACTTGTGACTGTATGACTAACTTTGTCGCTTGTATCCTTATGATTTATATTGACTGTTTCCTAGTATGATTTGATTGCTTATTGTACCCTATGACTATTAAGTGTTGTACGTGATGATTCTTGACTCTTGACAAATGTATCTTTTCTTTGATGAACACTGAGAGCATTTGCACCAAGACAAATTACTTGTGTGTCCAATCACACTTGGCCAATAAAGAAGAAAGGGAAGGAAGGAAGGACAAATAAATGTATTGATCCTTTCTACTAGCAATGCCATCTCTTGTTTTCCCACAGGCCTGGATGATTCTCGGAATACAGCTCGACTCGCTTGGAAGATGATTCGTGATGGGTGTGTAATGAAAATCACAAAATCGTTAGATGAGGTTAGTAGGTTCTCTCCTCGGCGCCCATGACTGGTCAACGTTTGACCCAGCGACATTTTGCGGACAGAACTTTTGACTTGGGAACCTTGTTTGAAGCTATGCTGGCCTCGCGATTGGCTGACCTCCTTTCTTTATGGAATTCTTAGGCGCCTCCAGCGAAGAATTCCATGGCCAGGTTTGGGGGCGAGAATCCTACCCATGGTGGCTCTTTGGGAACCAACCCTCTTGTCAAAGCGTCAGCGTTGGACGGAAGCGAAAAGGAAGCTGCTCCAGAAATCAAGAGAAAAGAAGAAGATCCACCACAAGAGACGGTTCACGTTGGCTTGTTGGAGGACACACCTGTTACATCTAGAAAGAGCGAAAAGACTGATGAATGTTGTAGCACCAAAATGAACTTAACCTTGTCCATAGAAAGGCCCCACTGGGCTCTGGGTAATCTTCAGCACCCTCGCTGTGGACTCTCAGGCCTTCAGAGTTGGGGAGACAAGGGCCAACTTATTCCAAACCCTACTACGCCCAACCGAAGGCTAGTTTTGGTCCCCACGACCCTGTCCACCGTCAACATTTCCGAGACCGACATCAGCACCACTCCAGATTGTCTCTCGATGTTGGCCGACTGGGAAGACGTCGCGATCATACCAGAACAGGAAGATGACCCCGATCCAGAATCCTCGCCCTCAAAAGATAACCCCAAGAGAGCATTAGCGACAGAAGATAGGAACAACGCTGTGAAGACCATTGGAGAGGACGATAGGGTAGATACTCCTCCCAGTAGAGAGCTCTCAAAATACGTCGTCTACAAGAGCCCAAATACGACTATTTACAACACGGGCCGAGCTCCCAGCAAGCCTTCGGATGCTTCTAGGTTTAAGCTCCCAGTCGTAACGGCAGAGGCGTCTTCCCCCAACCCGCCAGGCAGAAATCCCCTCGCCTCTTCGACCGAGGCCATCAAAAGGAAACCCTCCAGCCCCAAATCTTGGCCTCCCAGCAAAAAAACGTCCTTCAGGATCTATGAGGACGGAAGCCCAACGTTGAGCCGTTTCCCGTCGCCCGGAGCGAATCCATGCGGTGTCTCTCCTACCCTCTCGAGCTCTTCGGGAAATTTCCAGCCAACTTTCAGCGTACCAGGAACCGGGAGGACGACCCCGCCGTTGTGCCGGTGCGGCCGAAGAGCTAGAAGGTTGAACGTTTCGAACGGCGGCCCTAATCAAGGCAGAGCATTTTACAGCTGCCCGGTGAGAAAATGCGAAAAGAACTCCAAGGGTTGCAACTATTTCCGATGGGAAGATTTGTATATCAAGGAGAAGATGGCCCTTCCGACTTCAACTTTAGGGGTTGGGGGCTACAAGCTTTTAAAAACTCAGGACCCCTCCCTGGCAAATGTTAAAGCAAAGTGCTTGAATCTGCGGCCTTCCATGCGGACCTAGGCGGGTTTTTTCTTTTTTGCCTGCCTTTTATTGGGGAAATTGAGTATTTCAACCTTCAGAAAATTAGCTTTCTTTTCTACAGAGTGTAATCCTGTTTAGAAGCATCACCGAAGCTGTGTGTACATTTAGCAAATAGTCTCATCCCGAATGCCACAGATTGTCTTGTCTTTTAAATGTGTACTTTCTTTTCTGTATTCTAGGTTCTTAAGTTTGACTTTTTATTTTTAGGAATCATGTCTGTACTTTAAATCAGCAAGCCTGACTGCTGAGCAATTGCTTTTTAAAGAACTGGGTTGCAAAACCTGCATCGTGCTTTTAAACGTTCTTTTAAAATATCCTTTAAGAGATTCTTGATTCTGAGAAGCGAAATAAAACGAACTCTTCCCTCCCGCTCCCAAAAGAAGAAGTGAAGTTTGTCCATTTTAATACCCTTCTCACAAAGGAAAACTGATTTCTATAAGGATTGCGTTCAGTGGGTCAGCTTTTTAACTATCTCCAATTTCCATGGCACAGCAGGAATAAAATCCCAGAAAATGATGCAGCTGCTTCAGTGGGTGACAGACAGGGTGCTTGCTTTCACATTCTGGGGTATTGTGAAGCACTTTTTTTCCAAATTATATCTGAAGCATTGCACAGTGAGTAGATCGTTGAAATTTGCTGGCATGGATTAATGTGTGGTATGCACCATAATCCATGCCAGCAAATTGCCTGGGCTATGAAATTCACAGTAGCGATTATGCTTTCAGCATTCAAAAGATAAAGGAAGGATATTCAGCATTCAGCAGGTTCTGACCAGTTCTGGAGAACTGGTAGCGGACATTTTGAGTAGTTCAAGAGAACCCGCCAATCCCACCTCTGACTGGCCCCGCCCCAATCTATTCTCCGCCTCCCATGGAGTCCCAGCTGATTGGCTGGGTCTTCTTTGGTTGCCCTGCACAGGAGAACAGAGCTGAAATGCAGGTTAGTGGGGTGGGGAGCGTATGGGGATTTTGCAGTATCCTTCCCCTGCCATGCCTACCAAGCCACGCCCACCGAGCCATGCCACACCCACAGAACACCGCACCCATCAGGCCACGCCCACAACGGATCAGCTGGGTCTTCTTTGGTTGCCCTGCACAGGAGAATGGAGCTGGAAAGCAGAACCGGTAGTAAAAAAAATAAAAATTGAATTCCACCACTGATAGGTTCTCATTGACGGAATTATTTGAATTTGGAATTTGGTAATTAGCTGACATGCATGCAGTTAAAATTAAATCCTTGCTTTCCCCCCACCATTGATGGCTTGACTTTTACAGCATGTTAGCTAACTGTGAAAAGGATATGTCCAACAATATTAATAGCTAAGCTTGAAAGCTAGCCTTTTTTTTTAAAAAAAAAAGAGGGGGCTGTGATTGATTGTGGAGATCCTCAGATATGATCCTAGCTCATGAGGTGATTTATTCTATAAATAAGTGATGAAGGGCCCCGTCCAACCTATCACGTTTCATTCGCCCACCTCGTTCAATCATTAGGCAAAGTTTAAAATTGCCTAACGTTTCCCTAAGCAATTTAAAAGAAATAAATAATCTTAACCTTTATTTCCACGGTTCTGGGAATCATTCCAGGAAGACATTTGAAGTTTTTAGGGTCAAGTTTCACCTGCTTAGATGTTCTTTTTAAAGGCGCATTTATCATTTAGGAGCGTAGGGGACGCAGAGTAACTCACCCATGGCTTGAACCCAGATTGGGATGTACAGGTAGTCCTTGATTTACGACAGTTCATTTAGCGACCATCACAACAACAATGAACAAAGCGACTTACGGTTGTTTTTCGCTCTATCGACCGTTGCAGCATCTTTGTGGTCACTGAGATCAAAATTCAGGCGCTTGGCAACTGACTTGTATTTACGACCGTTGCAATGTCCCAAGGTCATCCATCCATCCCCTTTTGCAACTGTCTGACAACGGGGAAGCCAGATTTCACTTCACAACCGTGTGGCTCGCTTAACAACTGCCGTTGCTTCCCTTAATAGCTGTAGCAAGGAAGGTCGTAAAACCGAGCCAAACGCACTTAACAGCCATCTCGCTTAGCAACGGAAATGTTGGGGTCTACCTGTATTTAAAGTGACTGAATTGGTTTTGGGAAAAAGAGTGGACGTATGAGGCTATATGCCACCTGAAGAGGTATGGGCTTCCAACTCCCAGAATTCCCCAGCCAGCCATGCTGGCTGGGGAATTCTGGGAGTTGAAGTCCACAAGTCACCAAGATTGAGAGTGGTGGTTCTTCAGGGCAAGGCCAAGGTTCTGAATTCTGGGAGTTGGAAGTCCACACCTTTTCAAGTTGTCCAGGTTGGAGAACACTGTTCTACTGTAACAAACTATAGTTCTACTTTTTCAGCAACCTGACTTTGGAAACCCATAGTATCATTGCTTCATCGAGTTGGTCAAAATGCCTCTGTGCTCTCGTATCAACTTTTGTCCTTTAGGGATTGGAAAGAATGTTCTGATTTATGTATTGTTTACGTATCTGGCTTAGTCATGCAGCTCCCTGTAGGTTTATGAAGCTGTTAACATCTGGGCTGGGAGAAGATACGGGTTTTTGGGTCTTTCTCCATGGTACTTGGTGTTCTTTCTCACTGTAAAATCAACATCTGGAACCAGAGTTGCGTCTTTGCTTAACCTGGCCAGCTACATTGGGTTTTTGTACAAAGTTAAACTGGTGGTAAGTAAGCAACAGAGAGCTCGTTTGACAAACAGCCCATGTAGGGAACACATTTTTCAGAACTTTAAATTTCTAAATTTGGAGAGTAACGCCACATGCTTTTATTCCCGGAATGATTGCTCGCTCAGAAAGTAAACAGACGAGGAATTCTACGCTTGTCCCCATTCTTTCTTGCGCAATTCATTTCTTCTGATTTTCCCACTTATTGTCTTTGGCAAATGTGGAACGAACTCCATCTGTTGGGCAAGAGCAGAAATGAGGAGCTGGCAAAAGAGGAAGGAGGTGTTGGTACACACAGCTGGAATGAATTCAGAAGTTGCAAAAGAGTGAAACGAAAACGAATACGTACGACACAACTTTTTTTGCCAGGGAATAACCTGGCGTTCAGCTTGCATCTGTTAAAATAATCATGTTCCTCATTTGTACACCACTCAGTACTCAAAGCTTTAATTTATACCAGGGGATCTCCAAAATTGGCAAGTTTAAGATTCCTCAGCCAGAATTCTGAGAGTTGAAGTCCACAAGTCTTAAAAGTTGCCAAATTTGGAGACCCCCCCTGGCATAAATGGTGGCTGGGGAATTCTGGGAGTTGAAATCCACCAGTCTAAGTTCTCAAATTTGGAGACTCCTGATTTATATGAATCAAAGCTAAGAAATAGCTTAGCGTGGTTTGTATTAGGCCACGTTCTAGGTCCCAACAGCTGTTTTCAAGCTATTCAAAAACTTTCATTTTTATTGATTTATTGCATTCGACATTTCATAAACAGGACAAAAGAGTGGACATCTCCTGTCAATCTGCCTTAATTTCCGTTTAGCAGGACTTTAAACCAAGCCTTTGTTACCTACCAAAGAAACTTCAACTACTACAGCACGGTGTGCTTTCAGAATTGTGCTGTTCTAGAGATTTCAGAGAGGTGGAAACATTCCCTAAAGATCCTAGAATATTTTTTTTTCATTGATACCAGTGGAAGAAAGTATTGTAGTATATAAGTAGTCCTTGACTTACAACCATTTTTTTAGTGATGGTTCAAAGTTACAACACTAGATACAGATTAACAGAGTTGGAAGGGACCTTGTAGGGTCATCTAGTCCAACCCACCGCCCAAGCAGGAGACCTACACCATTTCTGACAGATGGCAGTCCAGTCTCTTCTTGAAAGCTTCCACAAAGTGATTTATGACCAGATCCTTACAGTTACCACCATTCGGAAGAAATTCCAGGCAAGAAGCCAAGATAGCTAGACAAAGGGGATGTCACACAGCTAAATCACAGCTTACCTTTCTAGGATACTTGTATGGGGCAGTGACAGTCTTGACAAAGTCCTGTAGTTCCTTAATCAAGGCTTCTTGGTCATGGGAAATGTATTCAGGAGCCAAAACTACAAAGGCTTTCACCACCTTGAATGTAAAAAAAAATGATCAAGAGGATGACATTTTGAAAAAAAAAACTGGGCAGATTAAAAAATACAAATTTTTTCATAGTACCCCTTTTAGAAAGATTCTGTTCTGTTCCATTCCATTCCCTATTTCTATGTGCTATTCTATTCTATTCAATTCTATATTCAATTCTATTCTATATTCTATTCTGTTCTGTTCTGTTCTATTTCATTCCATTCCCTGTTTCTATTCTATTCTATTCCATTCCATTCCCTATTTCTATATGCTATGCTATTCAATTCAATTCTATATTCTATTCTATTCTATTCTATTCTATTCTATTCTATTCTATTCTATTCTATTCTATTCTATTCTATTCTCATCCCATTTCCTATTTCTATATTCTATTAAGCTCAGCCTCCTTTACCTCACCACGAATAGGGTCTGGACTGCTGACCACGGCTGCTTCAACCACAGCATCATGTTCTAGCAAAGCGTTCTCCACCTCAAATGGTCCGATGCGGTATCTTTTGAGAAAGGAAAAAAAAAAAGAAAAAAAGGAAGAGTTGAATCTCCTTGGCCTTTGAAGAAGTCTTACAAGAAAAGCGTTCAGGTGAATTCCCCTTACCCGGCCGAGTTGATGACGTCATCTCTTCTCCCTACCAGCCAGATGTAGCCGTCCTCATCTCGAAATCCTCGGTCCCCGGTGATGTAGAAATCCCCACGGAGGGTCGAAGCGGTTCTCTCTCGATCATCCTGGATATGGTGAGCAACTATTTAGAAAGATGTGCGGTTCTGCCGACACTGGACGGTGTGGGGGAGGGTAGAGATCGTGAAATGTTTCAGGTGAAGATCACGTACTTTATGAGTTTTAGTAAACACCCCTATGATGCGTTTATTCATATCCAAGAATAGGTGGTTCCCAAATTCACGGCTGGATAAATAATTTAGGAGTTGTCTGAGGTCGCTGCCCAGCACTAATGTCAATTTAGAATAGGCTAGAATAACAAGAGTTGGAAGGGACCTTGGAGGTCTTCTAGTCCAACCCCCTGCTTTGTTCTGACCCAAACCTTGTTCCAAGGAAGCAAACACAAAACAGAGGTAACCACAAAACCTTTTAATGATTCTTTACGAATTCCGTTCCTTCACGGTTAAAAGGCTGCTTCAAACTAATTGTCTCTGATAAGAACGAGTCTTCCCAAGGTTGTGCAAGGCTGCCAAGAACACTGGATAAAGTTACTAAGAAATATTCCAAACACAAAGAGTCTCCAAACACCAACCAAGATACTCTGAACGTCCACCAGGCTTGAGTGCAAAAACTTCTTTGCTTCCTGCAAAGAACTCCGCTTTCTCAGCTGGCTTTTATCTCTTAAGGGAGGGGCTTAAGATTCTGCTTGTGTTCTGACCCAGGCTTCGTAAACCGTAATCACGCACAAACTTATTTTAAAAGCAAGACTTCATTTATTGCCACACTGGGAATTGTTTTCATTCCTAGCCAGAATTAATCTCAAACAGCCCCCAAGATAAGCACCCACCTTTCAGTTCTGTGAAGTGTTGCCAATAACGGAAGTATCAAATGAACTAGACAAAAAAACCAACAGGAGAGCTTCAAAGAGCTTCAAGAATGTCTCTGAACCAATCGAATTACTTTGCTTCCTGCAAAGGTTTCGTCATCTTGGCCTGACTTTTATCCCTTATGGGAGGGGCAATCACCTCCCAGCCTTACTCCTGAGTCGTCCCTTTTGTCTGTAGCAGCTCTGTGCAAGCACGCACTGGGAACTGGCTCCCCTGGGTCCTCTGCCTCGCTGCTGCCAGACTCCGAAGGCTCCAGAGGCAGCACTCCACTCCCAGATGGTCCTGTCCCCATCTCTGCATCAGATGCAGGACCCTCGTCCAAGTCCTTCCCAGACTCCCTGACTGGTCCCCGTTCTTCCCCACTGTCCAGTTCCACTGCCGCCTGCATCGGCTGCCAGCCAACCACAACAGCTTGTAGTTATGCTAGCCATGGTGGAACATGCGTTCAACAACAGTGAGCATCCTTCCACGATCTAATATTCCCACTTTTGTGGATGCAAGTGACACTCAAGTGACTCAATCGCCTTTTTTCCCCACCCTGATTTGCCTGCGGTCAATAAATACTTACAGTATATTGAGTAAAGAGGCAGTAAGGTCTCGTTGGTTTGATTCGGAGAGCGAGGTCTCCTTCGGTCCCAGGAGGTACAATGTTACCATTGTCATCTATGACCTTAAGCGCAAATAGCAAAATGAATTTCATTAAGCAAGTACACCAGGTAGACCTCGACTTGCCACAGTTCATTTTGTGGCCCTTCAAGGTTACAACGGCCCTGGGGAGAAAATGCGACTTATGATTGTTTTTCACATTTACGACCGTGGCCGTATCCACCACCACCCCGGTCAATATTCAGACGCTTGGCAACTGACCCTTTGGGGAAGCCAGATTCACTTAACAACCAGGCTAGTAACTGAACCGCTGAAGCGATTCAGTTAACAAAAATGGCAAGAAAAGTCATAAAAGGGGGGCAAAACTCAACTTAAGAAATGCCTCACTTAGCAACAGAAATCCGGGGCTCAACTGTGGTCGTAAGTCAAAGACTGCCTGCCCAGAAAGAAGCCAGTATATAAACAAAAGAAATGGGAAAGTGGGACTCAGTCTTAGTTCCTCCCTCTCTGCTTTCGCGCCCAACCCACTTTTCCTGGAGTATTAATAGGTTCCCCTTGCACATCCGTGCTAGTTGTTTCTGGCTCTAGCGGGCACCGGTGCTCATCTCCGTTCCAAAGCCGAAGAAGAGCCAGCGCTGTCCGAAGACGTCTCCGTAGTCATGTGGCCAGCAGGACTGAACGCCGAAGGCGCGCGGAGGAACGCTGTTCCCTTCCCACCAACGGGGGTCCCTTATTTTTCTACTTGGATTTCTTTAATGTGCTTTCGAACTGCTAGATTGGCAGGAGCTGGGACAAGTCACGGGAGCTCACTCCGTTAGGTGGTGCTGGGGATTCAAACTGCCAAACTGCCAACTTTTCTGATCAACTAGCTCAGCGTCTTAGCCTCTGAGCCACCGCCTCCCAATGATAGATCACAATAATAGATCACAATAGATCACAATAACAGATCACAATAATATTCACAATAATAGATAACAATAGATCACAATTATAGATACCTGAGTATCATAGATCGGTGTTGGTTTCCCCACGGAGCCTGGTTTGATTTTCATACCCTTGAAAGTTCCACAAACCAGCACCTAATTCCAGGGATGGAAAGTGAAGCAGACTGAGAAGGAAATTGTGTAGAATCCTTTCAGGGAGGATGAAGGAATATGTTTTCATATGCCCAGGATATCTAGTGAGGAGGCCTTAGGAAGATGCTCAAGAAACTGCAGTCACGTTTGGGGAACTCAATTAGTGAATCCTAAACTCAAGGAACTTTGAAGAAGATAACACTCCCATCAAAACTGTCAGAGAAAGGATAGAAGCAGCAAAGCACTGACGATGTTACCCAGTTGGGTAATGAAATGTCTGCAAGAAAACAGCCAAGTTCAGAGAGCACCTCCAACCCCATAGTTCTCTTCCTCCTTCCCTCCACAATCTCCACTCCCTTCTAGCACTGATGATGTTACCTAGTTGGGCAATGAATTGTCTACAAGAAAACCACCAAGCTCAGAGAGCACCAAGGATCCTAAGAGCTACCAAATATTCTCTTCTGTTGTTACAATTTGTTGAACAATTCACGAGCCAGCCCTTCCCATCTAGCACCATCAGAGATGCTGGATTTGTAACGGGACCTACTTTTTAAAAATAGACTTAAGGCGTGAAAGATGGGGGTGATTTTAACCAATCTTTTCTCCCCAGAGAGCTTTCAAAACTCTTCAGACTTTTATGAGTAGACTGCCCTCCATCGAGAAAATAGATGAGCTTACTGTTTCCGTTTGACCGTAGCCTTCATAGATGTCCAGGCCGGTTTCTGTTTTCCACTGGTCCATCACTTCAGGATTGATGGGTTCCCCAGCACTCACGCAGTGTTTGAGGTTCTGGAATTTATAACTTGGAATAAACGAAGAAGAGAAGAGAAGATGTCATTTTTAAAAGGTAAGCTGTCATGTTTATTAACAACTAGCTCGATACCCTGGCTTCACTACGAAACTACGTGGTCGGATTTAGTTTGGGGGGAGGAAAATAAGGGGGGGAAAATTCTGCCTCTGCCTACCAGCATCCATCGGTATTCATCTGGCTAGCGTCCTGTCAGTGTGAGAGAGAGTTGAGGGCTGTTTGGAAACTGAAACAGTATTTGCTGTGTGAGCAAGAAGGAGACAGTAAGGTGCCTGGGCGTGGCTTAGCTCAACTGTTCTGTACTAAAGCTACTTGCTGCTGTGAAACTGAAACTCCTCTCCTCTGCTTGTGTTTTGCCTTTGGAAGAGATTCCTTTTCAGGTGGGGAGGGGGAGTAGAACTCCTTAGCATCAGAGCGTGTTAATAATAATAATAATAATAATAATAATAATAATAATAATAATAATATAGGAAATACTCTAAATGCTCTGATGGTCATTTTGAAAAATCCTTTCTTAGTGAGCCCCCTAGAAGCCAAGAGGAACAGACGTGCCAAATGTCAAGTTTGTAGGCTTTACAGTTCTGGCGATTTTGTGATGATGTGTGAGTGGTATTTCGCTTTTATATGTATAGATTGACGTTGAGTTGGCCGTCTAGATTTTGCAAACCTAGGCATGAATCTGCCTGGGATAATAAACCTTGTTTTGAAGATGCTGAGTGTAGGAGGACTCACCGACCTGCAATGTTAGGAAATATTATCCCCACTCCCCCAAAATCTGGGGTGTAAAATGAAAAGACACAGAATCTGTCTTTAAAAGAGGTGTTTGGCTAGCAGATGCTTTCTCAATGCTTAAAATGTTTCTGCTTACAGCATACTGGCCATTAGTTCCTCTTCATCAGAGAAGATTAGTTCCTTTTGACCAAATAAGCAGAGATTAACCCCAGGATTAACACAGTTCAACAATCAACAATACCCCAAACAAAATTTCCGCTACCGGTTCTCCAGAACTGGTCAGAACCTGCTGAATACCACCTCTGCCATGTGTGAATCCAGCGGAGGCTTCCCGGGGCTTGGTTCTCAATCATCTAAACGTGGTTTAAAAAGAGCCAATCTCAAAATGCGTTAACATTACACATTGTAATTATCACTTTACCTCTTTAAATCGTGTTGGACGAGCAGTCGATAAACAGTTGGCGCAGAACAGAAAGTAGTGATGGGAAACTTGGACAACATCTAAATAATTAGAAAATTATAAAGACAACCTTAAAAGAAGATGCGAGCAGCCCAGGGCAAGCCTCCCCCAAAGATGGTTAAGGAAGCTAACAAGCAATGATTACAAGTGAGTTGACAGTCTACTGTTTTGCTCGTGTATCCAATACTGTGAATCTCTTAACGGTTAAATAAACTTTGGACCCATTGCCATGATTTAACTATTAATATACTTGACGCTTACTTCAAGGACAAGTTTAGGATCAAAGCGTGGCATGTGATGGACAAATATGCCTGCTCCTTGACTCCAAGGGGCAAAAACGCTACTCCATGCTGATTTCGCCCAGCCAGTGTCTGAAGTATTCCAGATCAGGTCGGAGGGAGTCAAATCAAGCCAATACCTAAATAACAGAAAAGTATATTAAAATATCACCTATCAATAGGAGAGAATATTTGTAGCTCAGGGTCAAACAGTTGGGTCCCTGGTGCTCTCTGAACTTGGTGGCTTTCTTGCAGATGTTTCATGACCCAACTAGGTAACATTATCAGTGCTGGAAGAGAGTGGGGTTTACAGACTGGAGGAGATAGGAGAAAGAGAAAAGAGGAGAAGGAGGAGGAGGAGGAGGAGGAAGAAGAAGAAGGGAACTGTGGAATCTTTGGTGCTCTCTGAGTTTGGGGTTTTTTTTGCAGGCATTTCATTTTGTAGATGTTTCATCAGTGTAAGCCTAGCACTGATGATGTTACCTAGTTTGGTAATGAAAGGTCTGCAAGAAACCCATCAATTTCAGAGAGCACCAAGGATCTCGCAGTATCATTTATGGAGGGGAGAGCATTTACTACTATTTGTTGAGATGTGTAAGAACTCTAAGGATATTATAAAATCGAAAACATCCAGTCTGAAGCTATTTTATTGGAATATGATTCCCTAACTAGTAAAGAAGCTGATAGACTTTATTCATCTCTGGTTTCCTTTCAGAGATCACAGTTCAGAAGCATTTTTACATGTGATGTTTTTTAGAAGCAAGGGAGGCTATGATGAGGCGTTGCTGGCCTCCTACAAGCCAAAATTTGCTAATTCCTACACCTTAATATCACGGCAGCTTGGAATCAATCCACAGAACCTAAGTGAGATTTGTTGCTTTTTGCAGTGGGGATTGGATTGATAGATCACTGATAGATCTTGACGGGGCTCATTGGAAAATGCAAACATTTGATTTTTCAAGACTGGTGCAGGCATTTCTGTGGTGTTCGTTTTAAGCCATGGTTTACTTCTAAATAGCAATCGCGCTTAAACTTACATTCCACTTCATAATGCTTTCCAGCCCTCCCTAAGCGGTTTACGGAGTCATCCTATCGCCCCCAACAATCTGGGTCCTCGTTTTACCGACCTCGGAAGGATGGAAGGCTGAGTCAACCTTGTATTGAACTCTTAGCAGTGGGTAGAGTTCGCCTGCAATACTGCGTTCTAACCACTGCGCCACGACAGCTCTAGAAGCTAGAAAGACCGCGTTCACATCACACAGCAGGCCAAAACCTAACGAATTAATGAATTAATTAGGGCCATTTGACAAACAGATCCTCCTCCATCGGGGCTACTCACAAGCTTTTCCCTACCTTCCGTTGAAGGCAAGACCAATTCCATGGCTCGCATGGGAATGCTCGGTCATTTTTGGAGCTCCTGTCGTACCACTGGTGAAATATATAGCCATTGGATCACTGCTTTTTGTGGCCACACAACTGTGTTCTGGAGACGCAAGCCTGCATAGAACATTGTGCATGAGCTCACTGTAACTTCAACGGGGAATCTCTTCTTGATGCTAATAACTTTTGTAGGAACGCAAATCCAGACAACGAATAGTTTATCTATTTAATTTATATCCCACTTTTATTCTTTTTACAAATAAGTCAAGGTGATGAACATGTCCAACATACCTTCCTATTCCTATTTCCCCCACGATAATCCTGTAAGGTGGGTTGAGCTAAGAGAAGACTTTCCCAAGGTCACTCAGTTGGCTTTCATGCCTAAGGCGGGATTAGAACTCACCACCTTCTTGAGATTGGCCCAGAGTCACCCAGCTGACTTTCATGCCTAAAGCGGGACTAGAACTCCCAGTTGCCTGGTGATTGGTCGAAAGTCACCCAGCTGGCTTTCATGCCTAAGGCAGGACTAGAACTCTCAGTCACCTGGTGATTGGTCAAAAGTCACCCAGCTGACTTTCAAACCTAAGGCGGGATTAGAACTCACCACCTCCTTGTGATTGGCCCAAAGTCACCCAGCTGACTTTCATGCCTAAGACGGGACTAGAACTCCCAGTCACTTGGTGATTGGCCCAAAGTCACCCAGCTGGCTTTCATGCCTAAGGCGGGACTAGAACTCCCAGTCTCCCAGTTTTCAATCCTTAGTTGCTAATCCAAACTGGGTCTCTTCTCCGCAAACCCTGCCGGTCTCTATTATTATTGTTTCTGCACTGCCGCCCGAGGAATTCCGGGACTTGTAGTCCACGCGCCTGAAAGTTGCTAATCTTGAGGAGCCCTGTTTTAAAAGAATGCTTCCGTTTTACTTACTACTTACTTACTCCAACATATTACTGAAGCTTAGCCAGCCTTCCCTGGGTTCCTTGGACACCAGGAACTTCAGCTCCAGGGACGGGCATTTGGAAGCCACCGTGTCCACCACAGGGGCCAGGGCAGAGTCCGTGACGACACACTTGGCTCTGGAAGCCTCTAAGCGGTGGTGCAAGTCTTTTGCTGTCAGCTGGGTGGTTCCAGGGATCAGCACGGCTCCTGAGAGAAGAAATTAGGGAGCTTAATAATATGTCAGCCTCTTATCCAGTGGTGAGATTCAATAATTTTTACTACCGGTTCTGTGGCCGTGGCTCGGTGGGTGTGGTGTGGTGGGCATGGCTTGGTGGACTTGGCAGGGGAAGGATATTGCAAAATCCCCCTTCCCACCCCCACCCCACTAACCTACTTTCCAGCTCTGTTCTTTTGTGCAGGGCAACAAAAAAAGACCCAGCCAATCAGCTGGGACTCAATGGGCGGCGGAGCCAGTCAGAGGTGGCATTTGCCGGTTCTCCGAACTACTCAAAATGTCCGCTCCCGGTTCTCCAGAACTGGTCAGAACCGGCTGTATGCCACCTCTGCTTCCACCCAACTTTTGAATTGTGGAAGAGCAGAGCCAGGAGGAGGATTGTGGGGTCCTCGGTGCTGGGTTGTTTTCTTGCAGACTTTTTCATTACCCAACTGGATAACATCATCAGTGCTAGAAGGGAGTGGGTTTTGTGGGGAGGAGGAGGAAGAGGAGACAAAATGAAAGAAGAGAAGAAAGAGAAGGAA